ATACAGGTGCCGGCTGGGGGCCTCAGTGCTGCGCTGCGGGGGCTGGGGGAGGCCCTCTCTTCTCCTGTGTTTTGTGACAACGACATAGAGGGGGCCCTGCTGGAGCTGAAGCAGCTGCAGCACGTGCTGCAGCAGAAGTGCGCAGCAGACTACCAGTGTAGACGCAACGCACTCCTCAAGTGCCACGTGGTTCGTGCTGCTGCTGCTGCTGCTCCTGCTGCTGCTGGTGTTGCTGCTGCTGCTGCTGCTGCTGTTGCTGCTGCTGCTGCTGCTGCTACTGTACTGATGGTCTTACTTGGGTCGTGTTGCTGCATCTGCCGCTCCCTTGTTGGTGCAGATGTGTTGTTGTATATCTGCTGCTGCTGCTGCTGCTGTTTTTGCTGCTGCTGCAGTTTTTGCTGCTGCTGCTGCTGTTTTTGCTGCTGCTGTTGTGCATATATCTGCTGCATGTGTTGCAGTGTGTGTCTGCAGCTGAACCCGCACCACCGCTTCAATAGAGTGCACAGTTTGGGGCTGGAGCTGCTGCATGCGCTGCGGGCCGCTCAGTGGCGCTCCCAGGACGTACGGGGCTGGCGGCGGCGTCAGAAGCAGTGGAAGCGGCAGCAGAAGGAGCGGCAGCGGCAGCAGTCTTCTCCTGCAGCAGCAGCAGCAGCAGCTGCTGCTGCTGCTGCTGGTGCCCCTTTCTTAACATCGCTTCAGCTGGCGCGTGAGCCCCCGTCTCCCCGTCTGTCTGTCTCTCATACATCTCCTCAGCAGCAGCAAGACCAGCAGCAGCAGCAGCAGCAGCAGGAGCAGCAGCAGCAGCAGCAGCAGCAAGAGCAGCAGGAGGAGGAGGATGAAGACAGTGGTGCAGCAGGAGCAATAGGAGGGGGAGAGGGACGGCATGAGCAGTCTCTGGGGGGTTTTGCTTCGCCTAGGTTTGTGTTTGTTGACGAGATAGGGGCAGATGTACTAGCAGCAGATGTAGATATAGAGAGAGCTGCGTTTGTATGGCGCTCCCACTTCTATGCTGCGAACGGCCTCAAGCTTGTATTGATGGGGCCTGCCAGCCCCAAAGAACTGCTGCTGCATGCACGCAACGCACTACAAACCCTTCCTGCTGCTCCTCACCTAAACCCTCACCCCAACTGTACAGATGATAGAGCATCAGAGGTAGAAGCCCTAAACCCTCAGCCTCCTCTCTTCGCCCCAGAGTGGCTGCCCCCAGCAGCAGCAGCAGCTGCAGCAGCTGCTGCTGCTGCTGCTGCTGCTGGAGCTGCTGCTGAAGACGCACAAAACGGAGAAGAAGGAGATGCTCGAAAAACCAGCAGCGTCAGCAGCAGCAGCAGCAACAGCAGCAGCAGCAGCAGCAGCAGCAGCAGCAGCAAGAGAGACAGCCGGCAGCTGAAGAGGCCCCCCGCGTGCCCGAACCCAAGGGAC